ACATTTAAACCAAAGTAGAGATGTCCAAGTTGTAGTTATTTACAAATATCCATCTTGATTGATGAACAAAAAGACTTGATATTCTTAGGAGATTTTAATTTTGATTTGTGTGCTGGGCATAAAGACTTTCTAACATTTATGGAAAAAGGATTCAGCTGAAAACAAATTGTGAGTTAGACTACTCATGACTCTGGTTCTAAACTTGACTTGATTTTTACAAATATATTGCCATGTGAAACAGATGTGATTGAAGCATACTGGTCAGATCATAAAATGGTGTACTGTGCATTTGATAAGACGTAAGCACTAAATACAATGGGGCTCCAAAGTTAAAAAATTCAGAGGGAGATCCATTAAGAATGCCCCCTCCCTCATCCCTTTGTCCCAGTCCTGGTATACCCCTTAAAGTTTTAGGGGTATACTGGATTCAACATGTCCATCTGTCTGAAGAAGACAGTACGGTTTGAGCTTTATTGTGCCCTAAAAAATTTAATGCTCTTAAAAAGTCATGAAATTGGCTTTAACAATAGTTGAGTAGATGGATATGATAAATCATTAAGGAATATGGCATGAGGAAGGGCCTTTCTTGAAATATGACGTCATTAATTTGGTACATTTTTAAGTTTAATGCAGAAAAGCTTCAAAATGACTCGTTTTTCTGCTAATTTTCCTTTAGAAAATAGTGTCTGCCACCGTCGCCCGCTTTAATTTTTGGATATATTGTGCAAACTGCTATGAAAAAATCACATATCTCAAAATCTTTCCGGGCGACGGTGGCACAGTATGTTTTCTGAAAGAAAATTCCACTGAAAATTGATGTCTTCTGCAACTTTTTAAGAAAATACGGGAAAATGCACAAGTTAATGACATCACAATTAGCATTTAGGAGGTCATATGAGAAAAACCATTTGTGCATTCTTACTGCACATAATTCCTATGATTCAGAAAGAATGAATTTTAATTTCTTATATCACTTTCATATTTTGGAAAAATATAGGGCTTAATTCGTATTGAAACTGTACCTTCTTCTTTGTCAAGGTCATTTTTTTATGATATGTTGTCATGGCCATCATCTAAAAAAATATTAGATTTAGGTCACAAACTTGACCTTCAGCTAATTACATCGCAACAAAATTCAGGCCATCGCCTTGGCCATCTGCAATAATTTTAGCGAGCTTGCAGTGAGGTATATGTCTTTCCTTATTTGTTTTTGGGGTATTAGCCCTATTTGGAATTTTTTAAAAATAACCCACTGTTTGAAAATTTGAATTTTTTACTTTATCTTTGTATTTTTTCAATTTCGTTTTTAAATAAAGACATCTATGTTTTAGGCCTCACTGTCAAATACATATTCAATTCTATATTTTACACTGAATTTTTAATGCATATTTGAATTAAAGTGAAAGGTCATATTCATAAATACATGCATTATTTCTGACCATAACGAGTAGATTGATCAACTGTTGATTTTATCTGAAGATTTGTAAAATTGTAAACAACTTTTTTAATGTATTCATATAACAACTCTACTTTTGAATATATACACTGTAGTTTGTAGATTTCTTTTTTTTTTATTTACTTTCATTGCTATATGTAATGATGTATATTCATTTTGTAGTTTTATTGTATTTGATATATCTTGTCCATTCTGAGTACATTGTATTACCATTTAGAAAGTTCAGATGTCTTACAAATAATATTCATGTTTCAGAAGTTGAGAATCATCTGTCCCTTAATATGACATTTTTATTTAAATACCGATAACTGGATTTTGTGTTGTGAACTTTTTATCCTGATATCTTTCATGAAGGACATTGAAGGATACCTTCTTATAGACTGCAGTGATTGTGACTTTAGACCAAATTGCCATTAAATGTGAATCCATCTGACTCTTTCGGGTACTTTGTGTGATATTTAATTTCTCATAATATTTGCCAGATATATCTTTGCAAAAATTTAATTTGTGTCACCTTATACCGGTACAATGTGGAAACCACTGAGTTGGATCTCTTTATTGACTGCATGACTTTTATCTTTTGCTGAAATATTTTGAACTGTTATTTAGATTTTGCTTTGTTGTTTAGTTTTCTTAATTTTATATAGTTAGAAAAGCATGATCAAACTGGACATACAAAATAGTAATCATATTTTACTTAATTATATCATATTTATTATGAACTTTGTAAATATGCTTCTTCAAAATAGCTTGTATAAATGACATGCAATGCTTTAAAAATGTCATTACATTGTCACAGCTTAGTCGAATTTTAGATACCCTGATTCAAATGAATACCACATAGATCATGTAGATTTTTGTGAGCATCAGTGATTAAAGATGACTTCAGAAGATAAAATTTAATATGTACAAAATGTATAATCTGCAGGTAAGTATGGAAAGAGGTGGTCAATGGCCAGCCCGTAAAGGGAGGTAAACCTGCCTCTTTTACAAAACAAAAAATATTGATAAATTTGATAGCACATGTTATGCTACACTGATAATAAAAACTTGAGAGGAATAAAAATGCTCCTTTAAAATTTTCAACAAGATTATTTGAATCAGGGTTTCTGGTAATGCAATATATGTAAATATAAAGTACTATGATATATGCATATTCGTAAAACCTGAAAAACCTTTTTTCCAATCATTTACTCATAACCTAGCTTTCCCATTTTCGCTTTCATTGGGAAAGGTATGTATATATGCTATATACAGTAATACTCTTTATTAAGATTTATTGTCATTTGCAATTGTTATATTTTAAATTTAATTTTACTTGTACTGTTCGATAACATTAATACATCTTTTTGACTTACTACTTCACCTGTATGTACATGAAATTAAGTTTCAAGATAAGTAATATATTGCAAATTGTATATTCTAATATTAATTGTGTCAACATGGGTTAATATGCACCACCTTGTTAAACATTTTGTCTGTTATTTTACTTAAAAAGAAAGTTCACATTGTTCCTGCAGATAAACACTAATTATTGAATAAAGTTATAAGGACGATCATGCATTTTTCTTATTCACTGATGGGAGGTTTAAGTAACTGATTGCACTTGTCAAACTGAATGAAAAAGGGTGGGGTGGGGGTGGGGATGTTGTGGGGGGGTTATTTGATGAACAATCCTTGGCTCATAATAGGAAGAACAATTTTTGTGCATTTATGTTTGAAGCCTAGATCTTCAAACTTCTTGGTATGAAGAACACAATAGTCAAATTAATGTGTTGATTTAATATAGTACTTGTATCACGACACATTTGGGTTTATTAAGTTTTGATGATGAAAGAAAGAATATGAAGTAATGAAATATTTCATATCAGGAAAAATAAAAAAAATTCTTTTGCTTTTAAATTTCAAAAGATGTCTGGGCCAAGATGTCTCAGGTGAGCGATGTGGCCCAAAGGCCTCTTGTTTAAAGGTTCCTCCCATCTTTTTTGCCAAATTTTTTTCTAGTCCTATTTTTAGGTTTTTATTATATTTGTTTAGTCTTAATTAAGAACATGTCTAAATATGCTATTTTCTAATTTTTGTCCAATAAATTATTTGGTAATTTTTGTTTGGCATACAAATAAATGCTCATTTAAAACAACTGAAAGGTTCACGGTATATTTGGCAAAAACAGAGCAGCGTAGACTCATGTATTGAGATTTTGGTTTACAGTCAGAAAAACAAGAACTATGGTAAAATAAAAAAGACGTAGTCAATTGTTGCATTGCATTAATTTCTGACAGTTTGATATCAAACAACATCATCATCTAATTCTCCATAAGACTCTTAATGTTTTGAAGATAAAAAACGGCATGTTTCTACTTTGGCTTTCAATCAAAGCTACTCCCGTGAGGATCTGGGTTAGAATAGGTCTTCAGTACCACCTTGCTTGTCGTAAAAGGCGACTAAATGGGGCGGTCCTTTGGATGAGACCGCATAAACCGAGGCCCCGTGTCACAGCAAGTGTGGCACGATAAAGATCCCTCCCTGCTCAATGGCCCTGAGTGCCGAGCATAGGCCCAAATTTGCAGCCCTTCACCGGCTATGGTGACGTCTCCATATCAGTGAAATATTCTGGAGAGGGATGTTAAACAGTATACAATCAATCAATCAATCAAAGCTAATGGATTATAAATAAAATGGCATATAACACATATAATCACTTGAATTATTGTATCTACACTCCGTAGTAATGTGTAAATATCCATGCTAACCTAAAATAATAATCACAAGTAATAACCATGGTTGGCACAAGATACAGGCCCATGTAAATTCATAACAGTATTTTGTCTATTAAGTATGTTTCTTTTGTGTTTTTCCTTTTTCTCTTACTTTAAATTGAAAGAAAAAATGAAGTCAAATTATTTATGTATTGTTTGAGCATTTAAGTGCCTTTTTATTTGTCCAAATAGGGAAAAACATAAAAATTAAACAATATAAGAAATACTATCCGACATTGCATTGAGGTTTCCATATATGGGGAAAAAAATTTGGCCGCCAGATTAAATCTAGCTATCCTACATAAACGGAGGCCGCTCAGACCTGTTAGACAGAAACCTACTCCAATAACTTTAACCTGGGACACCGACGCCGAGGGTTTAACATGAGGTCCACCTAACTTCGTTGAGGTGAGCATATAAAAAATATTAACTTTCTCCTTTTAGATTGACGTTTTCCTAAAATTCTTTTAAAGAGCTCACTTGTCTTTTATTTTCGTCAATTTTCACCTCGAAAAATATTTACTTGTATTAAAGGTAAAATTTGATATTTGAGGCATATTTTTACTTAAATCCCGAACTTGCATTATGAAAGGGTTTTAATAAATAATTCATTTTGATGGATTGCTTCTCTGCTTATTGGATATCAAGAAAAAAGTTGCAATTATTGCAGTAATGTTTATAATATATGTCATGTCTGATCTATGAATATAAAATGTAATCTTTTTCCTGATTTCTTAAACGTTAAAAGAATCTCATTTACTTATTGGACACATTAATGAACATACCAAGTTTTCCTGGTTTAGAGTCTTCAGTTTCATAAGTAATGGAACATTCCTGCACATCATTCTCAGTCCCTTTGTTTTCAATATTCTGTTCTTTTCCTTCCTCCACTTCTGTTACGAGAAATTCAAACACCAAAATAACAGATACAGGTGACTCTCGATCTCTCGAAGTTCAAGGGACCGCAAGAAAAGTTCGAGAGATCGAGGGGTTCGAGAGATAGAAAGTAAATAAAATCCGGAATTTTCAGTTCCCATCATCGACGTTCTACTTTTATAGATACCGGAAGTAAATGTAAATAAAGATATTGCACGTTTTCTACCGTATTTTACAGGTAATGTTTACCTGATATCAACAACAATGATCGTATTTCGACTATAAATAAAACGAATCCCTAAAGTTTCAATACTTATTTGTTCTTATTTAATGATTACATGAAATCCGAAAAGCAATTGTCGGTTTTACTATTTCGCGGCTTGATCGTGTACTTCACCTAATCACCAGTGTTCACATGAGAAAAGAAATTTCTTGTGCAATATTTGCCATACTGGGATTATCAAGACTCTAATAAACGTTCATAGCCTATGGGAACTTATAGATTCGACTATAAATTATTTTCTAAAAATTATCGTCTCGTTTTCAAGTCAAAATATTAAAGTTGTGAATTTAAAAACAGTTTATAATTTACCAATAATAATCAATTAATTATATCAACACAAGGACTACCCACAGGTGAAGTTTCATCTATGTAAACACCCAATTAACACCTCAATGCCAAGCCCCAGGCATTCACTGTTTTCCAGGTAAGTTCAAGGCTGCATCAATTTTACGCTTGATTGGCTTGTATACACACGCAATCAAAACTTCGAGAGATAGAGAGTAAAATTCAATGAAATATGTGTAATGGGACCCATGGTTCGGTTCGAGAGATAGAGAACTTCGAGAGATAGAAGTTCGAAAGATCAGGAGTAAATTTGCTTAGTTATATAGAGGAAAAAAACAGGACCGGAGGTTCACTTCGAGAGATCGGAGTTCGAGCCATCGAGAGTCACCTGTAGTTGGATTCTTCCTTATGTTTATTTTCATGAAAGCCAGTTCCATTTCACAAACAAAAAATAAACGGACAATGTGTTGGAAAGAGGTATTTTCTACTACAAAACTCTAGTGCAAGATATTAAATGACCGTAATCAATAGTTGTTTAGAAAATATAACAAGAAATCTTATTCACTAATCAAAACGTCGGAGAGTTACTACTTTAAAAAAAATGAAATTTTTTTAAACTACATGATAGAATGAATTGAAATTTTTAAAATTTTGTATCCAATGTATTTCCATATATTGGTTCAAAAAACCTATTGGTTATCAAAGTCTGGTTGAAATTGGCCAAGTGGTTCTTAAAAAGAAGTCGAAAATGTTAAAATTTTACAGACGACAGAGGACAGGCGGACGCCCGAAACTTTTCGTTCAGAAAAACTCAAATGAGCCCTCGGCTCAGGTGAGCTAATAAAACTACTGTTTATGAAGGATATATGATTATGAAAAATATGGAGATAACGAACAGTATTCAAGCTCAAATCTCCATTCAACAATACAAAAGAGGAGCAGAGCACACACGGACCTCCAAAAAATCAGAGGTGGGATCAGATGCCATGAAGGAGTGAAAATCCCCTGCCGACTGGTCACATCTGCCGTGTGCTGCCTGTTATGATCGGAAATTAACGAAAAAATCCGTCAACAATTCAGTGTGTTTATAATGACAAATGTTAAAGGACATTCTGCCAAAAAAAAAAAACATAATTGTATTTATGTGCAACATAAAGTAATTTATACCATCTATCGATTAATTATATATTGTTAATCTTTTTCCGGATATTGTAATGCTACATTCAACCTGTATCAATAATTTGATCTTGTCACGTGATCATTGTCTCAAGTCTGCACACTATCTGGATAAAGTTTTCATCCACCCCTTCCCCTGCTACCTCTACATTTGTGAATGGATTATGATGTACACCGAGGCTCTTACCTAAAATAATAATTACAAGAACTATGTTTTCTTTTGTGTTTTTCCTTTTTTCTCTAATTTTAAATTGGGTAAAATTTGTATATTTGATTCGGCATATTTTTACTTAAATCCCGACTATTAAATATACATTTGTGAATGGATTGATGTACACCGAGGCTCATGTTATATAATTTTTTTGTCATGTGACTCGGTTTTTATTCAACTGTAGCTAGACATAATAAGTGGAAAATTAATTCTTTCTAAGCATGTTTGCAATACTCAATATAATGTGTTATATCATGTTCCCAAAGTGTGTTTATTCAAGCCTTGTGTGTTGTTAAAGTGTTGTTTGCGTTTTTTAAAGGTTTCTCCCATGTTGTTTTTTGACAAAATTTTTTCTAGTCCTAATGCATTATAAATAAAGTGAAATATAACACATATAATCACTTGAATTGTTGTATCTACACTTTGTAGCAATGTGTAAATATCCACGCTTACCTAAAATAATAATTACAAGTAATAACCATGGTTGGCACAAATACAGGCCCATGTAAATTCATAACAGTATTTTGTCTTTAAAGTATGTTTTCTTTTGTGTTTTTCCTTTTTCTCTAATTTTAAATTGAAAGAAAATATGAAAGTAAAGTTATTTATGTATTGTTTGAGCATTTAAAAGCCTTTTTATTCGTCCAAATAGGGAAAAAACATAAAAATTAAACAAGATAAGAAATACTATCCGACATTGCATTGAGGTTTCCATATATGGGGAAAAAAATTTGGCCGCCATATTAAATCTAGCTATCCTACATAAACGGAGGCCGCTCAGACCTGTTAAACAGAAAACTGCTCCAATAACTTTAACCTGGGACACCGACGCCGAGGGTTTAACATGAGGTCCACCTAACTTCGTTGAGGTGAGCTTATAAAAAATATTAACTTTCTCCTTTTAGATGGACGTTTTCCAAAAATTCTTTTAAAGAGCTCACTTGTCTTTTATTTTCGTCAATTTTCACCTCGAAAAATATTTACTTATATTAAGGGTAAAATTTGATATTTGAGGCATATTTTTACTTAAATCCCGAACTTGCATTATGAAAGGGTTTTAATAAATAATTCATTTTGATGGATTGCTTCTCTGCTTATTGGATATCAAGAAAAAAAGTTGCAATTATTGCTGTAATGTTTATAATATATGTTCATGTCTGATCTATGAATATAAAATGTAATCTTTTTCCTGATTTCTTAAACGTTAAAAGAATCTCATTTACTTATTGGACACATTAATGAACATACCAAGTTTTCCTGGTTTAGAGTCTTCAGTTTCATAAGTAATGGAACATTCCTGCACATCATTCTCAGTCCCTTTGTTTTCAATATTCTGTTCTTTTCCTTCCTCCACTTCTGTTACGAGAAATTCAAACACCAAAATAACAGATACAGGTGACTCTCGATCTCTCGAAGTTCAAGGGACCGCAAGAAAAGTTCGAGAGATCGAGGGGTTCGAGAGATAGAAAGTAAATAAAATCCGGAATTTTCAGTTCCCATCATCGAAGTTCTACTTTTATAGATACCGGAAGTAAATGTAAATAAAGATATTGCACGTTTTCTACCGTATTTTACAGGTAATGTTTACCTGATATCAACAACAATGATCGTATTTCGACTATAAATAAAACGAATCCCTAAAGTTTCAATACTTATTTGTTCTTATTTAATGATTACATGAAATCCGAATAGCAATTGTCGGTTTTACTATTTCGCGGCTTGATCGTGTACTTCACCTAATCACCAGTGTTCACATGAGAAAAGAAATTTCTTGTGCAATATTTGCCATACTGGGATTATCAAGACTCTAATAAACGTTCATAGCCTATGGGAACTTATAGATTCGACTATAAATTATTTTCTAAAAATTATCGTCTCGTTTTCAAGTCAAAATATTAAAGTTGTGAATTTAAAAACAGTTTATAATTTACCAATAATAATCAATTAATTATATCAACACAAGGACTACCCACAGGTGAAGTTTCATCTATGTAAACACCCAATTAACACCTCAATGCCAAGCCCCAGGCATTCACTGTTTTCCAGGTAAGTTCAAGGCTGCATCAATTTTACGCTTGATTGGCTTGTATACACACGCAATCAAAACTTCGAGAGATAGAGAGTAAAATTCAATGAAATATGTGTAATGGGACCCATGGTTCGGTTCGAGAGATAGATAGAGAACTTCGAGAGATAGAAGTTCGAAAGATCAGGAGTAAATTTGCTTAGTTATATAGAGGAAAAAAACAGGACCGGAGGTTCACTTCGAGAGATCGGAGTTCGAACCATCGAGAGTCACCTGTAGTTGGATTCTTTCTTATGTTTATTTTCATGAAAGCCAGTTCCATTTCACAAACAAAAAATAAACGGACAATGTGTTGGAAAGAGGTATTTTCTACTACAAAACTCTAGTGCAAGATATTAAATGACCGTAATCAATAGTTGTTTAGAAAATATAACAAGAAATCTTATTTACTAATCAAAACGTCGGAGAGTTACTACTTTAAAAAAAATGAAATTTTTTTAAACTACATGATAGAATGAATTGAAATTTTTAAAATTTTGTATCCAATGTATTTCCATATATTGGTTCAAAAAACCTATTGGTTATCAAAGTCTGGTTGAAATTGGCCAAGTGGTTCTTAAAAAGAAGTCGAAAATGTTAAAATTTTACAGACGACAGAGGACAGGCGGACGCCCGAAACATTTCGTTCAGAAAAACTCAAATGAGCCCTCGGCTCAGGTGAGCTAATAAAACTACTATTTATAAAGGATAAATGATTATGAAAAATATGGAGATAACGAACGGTATTCAAGCTCAAATGTCCATTCAACAATACAAAAGAGGAGCAGAGCACACACGGACCTCCAAAAAATCAGAGGTGGGATCAGATGCCATGCAGGAGTGATAATCCCCTGCCGACCGGTCACATCTGCCGTGTGCTGCCTGTTATGATCGGAAATTAACGGAAAAATCCGTCGACAATTCAGTGTGTTTATAATGACAAATGTTAAAGGACATTCTGCTAAAAAACATAATTGTATTTATGTGCAACATAAAGTAATTTATAACATCTATCGATTAATTATATATTGTTAATCTTTTTCCGGATATTGTAATGCTACACACAACCTGTATCAATAATTAGATCATGTCACGTGTTCATTGTCTCAAGTCTGCACACTGTCTGGATAAAGTTTTCATCCACCCCTTCCCCCTGCTACCTCTACATTTGTGAATGGATTATGATGTACACAAAGGCTCATGTTATATAATTTTTTTGTCATGTGACTCGGTTTTTATTCAACTGTAGCTAGACACAATAAGTGGAAAATTAATTCTTTCTAAGCATGTTTGCAATACTCAATATAATGTGTTATATCATGTTCCCAAAGTGTGTTTATTCAAGCCTTGTGTGTTGTTAAAGTGTTGTTTGCGTTTTTTAAAGGTTTCTCCCATGTTGTTTTTTGACAAAATTTTTTCTAGTCCTAATGGATTATAAATAAAGTGAAATATAACACATATAATCACTTGAATTGTTGTATCTACACTTTGTAGTAATGTGTAAATATTCACGCTTACCTAAAATAATAAATACAAGTAATAAACATGGTTGGCACAAGATACAGGCCCATGTAAATTCATAACAGTATTTTGTCTTTAAAGTACGTTTTCTTTTGTTTTTCCCTTTTCTCTAATTTTAAATTAAAAGAAAAATTATTTATGTATTGTTTGAGCATTTAAAAGCCTTTTTATTCGTCCAAATAGGGAAAAAACATAAAAATTAAACAAGATAAGAAATACTATCCGACAATGCATTGAGGTTTCCATATATGGGGAAAAAAAATTTGGCCGCCATAATAAATCTAGCTATCCTACATAAACGGAGGCCGCTCAGACCTGTTAAACAGAAAACTACTCCAATAACTTTAACCTGGGACACCGAGCCGAGGGTTTAACATGAGGTCCACCTAACTTCGTTGAGGTGAGCTTATAAAAAATATTAACTTTCTCCTTTTAGATGGACGTTTTCCAAAAATTCTTTTAAAGAGCTCACTTGTCTTTTATTTTCGTCAATTTTCACCTCAAAAAATATTTACTTGTATTAAGGGTAAAATTTGATATTTGAGGCATATTTTTACTTAAATCCCGAACTTGCATTATGAAAGGGTTTTAATAAATAATTCATTTTGATGGATTGCTTCTCTGCTTATTGGATACCAGGGTATCAAGAAAAAAAGTTGCAATTATTGCAGTAATGTTTATAATATATGTTCATGTCTGATCTATGAATATAAAATGTAATCTTTTTCCTGATTTCTTAAACGTTAAAAGAATCTCATTTACTTATTGGACACATTAATGAACATACCAAGTTTTCCTGGTTTAGAGTCTTCAGTTTCATAAGTAATGGAACATTCCTGCACATCATTCTCAGTCCCTTTGTTTTCAATATTCTGTTCTTTTCCTTCCTCCACTTCTGTTACGAGAAATTCAAACAACAAAATAACAGATAGTTGGATTCTTTCTTATGTTTATTTTCATGAAAGCCGGTTCCATTTCACAAACAGAAAATAAACGGACAATGTGTTGGAAAGAGGTATTTTCTACTACAAAACTCTAGTGCAAGATATCAAATGACCGTAATCAATAGTTGTTTAGAAAATATAACAAGAAGTCTTATTCACTAATCAAAATCAAAATCAATACTCAATATAATGTGTTATATCATGTTCCCAAAGTGTGTTTATTCAAGTCTTGTGTGTTGTTAAAGTGTTGTTTGCGTTTTTTAAAGGTTTCTCCCATTTTTTTGCCAAAATTTTTTTAGTCCTATTTTTAGGTTTTTATTATATTTGTTTAGTCTTAATTAAGAACATGTTTAAATATGCTATTTTCTAAGTTTTATCCAGTAAATTATTTGGTAATTTTTGTTTGGCATACAAATAAATGCTCATTTAAAACAACTGAAAGGTGCATGGTATATTTGGCAAAAAACAGAGCAGCGTAGACTCATGTATTGAGATTTTGGTTTACAGTCAGAAAAACAAGAACCATGGTATAATAAAAAAAACGTAGTCAATTGTTGCATTGCATTAATTTCTGACAGTTTGATATCAAACAACATCATCTAATTCTCCATTAGACTCTTTATGTTTTGAAGATAAAAAACGGCATGTTTCTACTTTGGCTTTCAATCAAAGCTAATGGATTATAAATAAAGTGACATATGACACATATAATCACTTGAATTATTGTATCTACACTCCGTAGTAATGTGTAAATATCCATGCTAACCTAAAATAATAATCACAAGTAATAACCATGGTTGGCACAAGATACAGGCCCATGTAAATTCATAACAGTATTTTGTCTATTAAGTATGTTTTCTTTTGTGTTTTTCCTTTTTCTCTAATCTTAAATTGAAAGAAAATATGAAAGTAAAGTTTATCATGTTTTGTTTGAGCATTTAAGTGCCTTTTTATTTGTCCTGATAGGGAAAAAAACATAAAAATTAAAGAAGATAAGAAATATTAAGTAGACATGGAGAGCAAGAAGTGCCTACATTTAGAGCTAATTGTAAAAATTCTGGAATAGAATCTCAATCACCACATACAATCAATAGTTTAATGTTTGAAATTTTATTTAATTGCACTCTGGTGCTGGCACTTTTTGAAAACAGGTAGGTACGAGGCGTTAGAAAATTACATGTGTTATCCTCTGAAATCAGGAGATAAACTATCCGACATTGCGTTGAGGTCTCCATTAATGGTTTGATGCTTTGCAAGAAATCAACCGCAAACATTTCGCGTGCTGATCCTATTATGCATGCCGATAATTTCTGCAAGCGTGATGATGGACATTACAATTAATGTGAAGTATCGAAAAGTTTTCGTTTTTTCATTCACAAATTCAAAATGAAGTAGCTATACATTCTCATTAAAAAAAATACTCTTGTTAAGAGTTGTGAAGATTACGAGCAGTATTTATGCTCAAAAGTCCTTTTAAACAATACAAATTGCAGGGATCTCTGAAAACATCAGAGATAGAATCAGATGCAATAGAGGAGAAAGCTTCCCCTGTTGACCAGTCACATTCGCCATGTGATCTCTGTTATGTCGACTTGAAGGCCACAGCAAGAAACTTTTATATGTCGAAGTTTCTGAATTAATTCTGCCGTATAGAAATATAAAATAGTCTGCTAATATAGGAGCACAATAAGCCAATTGAGATCCCTATTAAAACAGAAATTCAATGTTGTTGAAATTGCGATTTTGGTGAAAAAAATGTTCATCAAAGTATGACTGCAAATAAAAAATGTTTTTTTTTTTTGTGGGACAAACATTGTCTTTTCATAAGTTTCGATTTGACAGTCACAATCAATGATGTCTATGTAATCTTTGGAAACCAGGCCATCTACAGCTAAACACACTCACATGGTTTTTCGAACAAATTAAGGTCACATTTTCCTTGCAATTTAACTTAAAAGTATCGAGCTTCAGTGCGATACATAACCCTTATATTATAAAATATTTCGTGTTGGAGGTGCATTTTCTCTAAAATCATTATCTTAAGTTTTAAATCTCGATGTTTTCAAATGGGAATTTGTTTATAAATTGTATGATGTTATATGTGTATGATGCTACCATGGGTATTTGCAATTAATTAATCGAGCTTTCTTTGATATCATTTAGTTGAAATGATCAAATTGACTTCTTACAGATGAGTATTTTTCTAAGTACTTTGTGCATTTTCTATACTTGTTTTGGTTTTGTCGAAATGCAGCACCGAAAAAAGACAAAACTGCATAAAGAAATCACATTAAAAGATAAGGATTATAAAGTATTGTTTATCTTTCAACATAGTAAATTGTTACTATTGAAGAGAAAATTCTTTTACATTTATGGTTTGAAAGTTTGAAATTTTGCGTTGGAAGGTATCTTTCATGATGCTAGATTTCAGAAAGTTAACCTAAAAAAATGCCATCTCTTTAACGTGGAAAGCAGTCGAACAGATGAAAAATACTTCTATCATCCTGCGCCTTTCTGTCATATTAATGTACAGAAAATAAGAAGTTACACAAACTGCACTGTTTCTGTATTAAGGCAAGACAAAGGTATGCTTTAAATTGAACGTATACAAAGACAGCTGCATTTGACGAGAAACCATGAAAAAAATATTTTGGAACTGTCATGATCTATCATCATAGAACATATAAAAATCCTACTAATTATTATGTGTGAAACATGTTTAAAGTGATGGAATAAGATCAAAATTAAGTTATAAATATCTTTTAAGATATATTATGTTCTCACGTTACACAATTTTGCATTATAACAACATGAACAATGTGACCTTAATTTGTGCGAAAAACCATGTGAGCTTAAAAAGTGCGTTGAGCTGTACTATCCATTGGGACTCCCATAATTACATATTGTTCTCATTGTGTGTCATTCTCTTGTGTTATCATAGAAAAGTTTATCAAAATAATTTTGACTTGTAAGTATTTGTAAGAGGGAGAATTACAGAATCTTTTTTTAACCAACATCAGAAACAATAATAATTCTTATGTTTCTTAAAAGTGTACCTTCTTGGTGTTCAACGTCCACGGTCACTTTAAATGATGTACCTCCATGATGGTATTGAGTTTGTTCTCTTTTCTCCCATAATACTCTGTCTAAATAGCAATAGTAGAATAAAAGGTTTTTTTGTTTTTGTTTTTTTTGTTTTGTTTTGTTTTTTTTTTACCGGTACATGGAAATAACCAGTATTGCAGTGTACATATCAAAAGCTGAATTCAATTAAAATTATAAAGAGGAATTACTTGGAATAAATTTATTTTTAAAACAGTGTATTTTTTTGACTAACTTCCGAGAACCTTGTGCTTCTTCCTATAGTTTTAAAGAAAGTATATACTCAACTAATATTGACTTGAATTTAATCTACAAGTATATAAAAAAACCCGAGCTGCTTTTCCAATCAATGTATATTATCAACAATTTAATAAGATACTTTAACATAGAAAACATCTCAGCATCAGAGACGATTAACTTGAGTAGACCTTTTGTCGCCCATGTGGCGCCGTGTTTAGAGCATCTTCTATAAGGTCGCAAAGTAGGGAGTTGATCCTTACGTCGCGGGTTCGAATCCCACTGTAGTACGCGGAGACAGGTCCTTTGGATCACTCGGGGCCGGCTCCTTAAATGTCTATCCTGTTGATTCAGTCGTGTGATCGTATCTGAATTTCTTTCAAATGTTATACATTTGAAATGTCAGCTTCTTCGTGGCACGCCCGATATTTTGTATTTGCTTTGAAAGCCTCCTAATATAACTTTACCACTTCTACTTTTGATTGCACTTGACCCTTTTATTAGTGTGGAATCATTTTTATTTATTTCTGTTAAATCAAACAAACAAATGATGGATATATGAATAGAAATACTCAGAATACAGAGAGAAGTTTTACATAAAACATACATGTATATTAACATTGTAAGAACAAATGAATAACATTTAAGAAATTCAGACACTGGAAAAATTTAACAGGAACAATAAAAAAATAATAATTTTAATAAAGAAAAGGCTTGTGACATTTATCTGAAAGCATTTAAAAAAATTCTTACGATTTTTTTCCTTTATTAAGCGTTTGGATTATCTCAAAAGGGTTAAGACTAAGTACTATACATTTACATGTAAATTCGATTTGGCGACAGGCCGCTTGAACAGCCTGATAATAGCCGTTTACACTAACGACGAAATGTGACCTCCGTAGAATATTGACCGGGATCATTTTTCTACGTACAGAAATGACCCCCTGGTCCATATTCTACGGGGTCACTTTTCGTCGTTACACCAGCAACTACACTTTGAGCATTGAACCTGGCGAAATCTTGCATAAATTAACGTATTCAGAATTTAGCAACACTCATTTGGGTATGGAGTGGTTAGATTAATAATAAATTAGAACTCACGTCTTTGCCGTGTATTGTTTTCATTGAGGTACAATTTATGAATGGATGTTCGCGCTGGAACAGCTAAATTTTTAAAGTACATAATATTATGTTACAATACTTTCCAAATATCACCTTACCTCCACTATTGGAGTTCTATGAAGAGACTTACTTTTACATTTGACGTTCGATTTTAGTTAATGGAGTTTGTCTCTGTTAAATTGTAAAAGTCAGCTGTCGATTGTAAAAGTAAGTCTCTTCATAAAACTCCAATATTAGTCACTTCATGTGTATGCTCTACTGAACACTTACCATTCCTTTGATCGCCATTTTCTCTAAGCATAGGTTCTTTTACTCCCATTTTATCTGTAAAAATGGGAATTCATTGCTAAAAATTTTAGACATTGCATGCATAGTTGCGTTAAGAAGGAATACTTTCAAATGTTATTCATATAAATTCCATTACTTTTCATGTTATGAATGATTTATTTATCAAACTTCTGTTCAATACCAAATACGTATAATGCTTAAAATAACCCTTTTTAATTGTTTGTATTACTATTTATAGACATATGTCCTTCATGGTCAACTAAGTATCATTAAACCTGTAAGTTTTTCACCGTTTGACCAATTGGTCACAAGAAAGCATTTGGAGATAATCCTCTAACAAATTACATGTATGTAAATTGTAATGGATTTATGCCGAATACTGTTTTTTATGTAAAATTATCAGACTGTTTTCGGCTTTAACGGGTCTCAAGCATGCAGTCTGATAATTATACATAAAGAACAGTATTCGGTATGTCTATTGTTAAAACATTGCTTGGACGCCGCCTTTGTTCTTTACAGTCTTAAATTGTTTTAAGTAAGATATGTTCCTCGTACAATTCTATATGAAAAAAAATCAGACTGTCTGATAATTTTATATATGAACAAGGTGCCATTGAGGAGGAGGAACCCCTTTTGGGCTGGTCACATCCAACGTGTACTCCTTCTCATGACTGGGTAAAGGAAGTGGTCAATAGACAAGTAAGTATAAAAAATAATAGCCCAACGATTTGTATTCAGTCGGAGCCACACAACCATTCCTCACGATTAATAAAAAAATCAGGCTTTTCGATATCATTGACAGCTGCTTTTTCAATTAAGATAAAACTCCTAAATTTACTTACCTTTTCATTGCAAAATTATTTTGATAAAAACATTCTTATTGCACACACAAGTATTATGAAGACGATATCAAAAAGATGCTGGAGTTTCTGTTTGACAATATCTATGTTGTTTTTGGAGACCAGGTCTTCCAAAAATCTATTGGAATTCTCGTGGGTACCAATTGCGCCCCGTTATAAGTAGACCTATTTTTGTATTTATATGAAGCAGAATTTTTTGCAAAATCTTAGGCACGAAAAGATGAAAACACTTGCTGTGGCCTTCAACTCGACATTTAAATATATCGACGTACTGTCAATTAACAATGATAATTTCCATTCTTATGTCGATACTACATATCCTGATGAGTTTGAGATAAAAGATACCACAGAGTCTGACACATCTGTTTCATATTTTGATATTTTACTTGAAAAAGATGTTAATGGTAATCTAACAAGCAAGCTCTATGATACACATGATGACTTTAACTTTTCTATTGTCAATTTCCTTTACTTTTGCAGTAATATACCTTCATCGCCTGCATACGGAGTTAATATACCCGGTATATATTTCAGTTGATTCGATACGCAACAGCATGCTTTAGCCATAAACAATTTCTAAAGCGAGGTAAATTATTGACAAACAACCTGATGAAACAAGAATATCAGCAGTCTCGTTTAAAATCATTTCTACCCCGTGGGGATCCGGATTAGAATAGGTCCTCAGTACCCCTTGCTTGTTGTAAAAGGCGACTAAATGGGGCGGTCCTTCGGATGAGACCGTATAAACCGAGGCCCCGTGTCACAGCAGATGTGGCATGATAAAGATCCCTCCCTGCTCAAAGGCCCTGAGTGCCGAGCATAGGCCTAAATTTGCAGCCCTTCACCGGCAATGGTGACGTCTCCATATCAGTGAAATATTCTGGAGAGGGACGTTAAACAATATACAATCAATCAATAAAATCATTTCGTAAGTTCTATGGTCGATTCAATGACCTTGTCAGCAAATACAATTTAACATTGAGTCAATTTCTGACTGACATTATTTATACTGATGGTTAGTCCATTATTTATACATGTACATTGAATTGACGACGGATTTTTCCGTTATTCCCGATCATGACATGGTGCGCACGGTGTGACCGGTCGGCAGGGGATGCTCACTCCTCCATGGAACCTGATCTCACCTCTGATATTTTCGAGGTCCGTGTTTGCTCTGCTCCTGTTTTGTATCGTTTTATGGACTTTTGATCTTGAAAACTGTTCGTTATCTTTATATGTTTCATTAAGAAAATTGTTTATAAAAGTGTTGGATTTGTGTGAAATAAAGTTATAGAACTTGCCAGAGTATTTATTTTATTTTTTATTTAACTTGTTATTAAAAGCCTAGATCCACTCCTTAGTTCTCCCTTACCTGTACATATTTGTTTATACCAAACGACATTGATCAGGTATTTTTGAAGTGGTCATTGTTAATTTTGGTTTTATTGGTTACTGATTTAAAAGCTCGGATGCGATTGGTTTTCTTGATCGGGTTAGAGTTTTCCCGCTTTATTATGACCATTCTTTGTTCCATGGTTGATCAGACCAAAGCTAATGACATTGACTTGAGAGTGAAGATTTCCTTCTCTGGTAAGTCACTGATTTTTTCTTATTTTAAATGTTCACCCTATAGTATGCAAAAAAACCTTTTTCATTTGCACTTACTAAAGTTAATGAATGATTTTGAGAGAAAGTTGTTATGATGCATAAATGTTATTGATTACAAGATCAATATGAAGTATTTGATAGAAGCAATTTGATGTTTATTAGATTATTATATTTTAATGATGATCAAAGATATTGTTGATTATATTGTTCAAAGTGAGCAATTAGTATATTTTTTTAGAGAGATAATATTTTTAAATATCATTGTATTAAATTACAAATCACCATTCATGGACTTTGTAAATTAAACAATTTAATGAGCAGATGGGAAAGCCTATTCCCATAGAATGGTGAGATTAATATGTTTTTATCTTGAATATTTTTATGACTTTTGTGGGAGAAATATGTAAAGATTTATCTATTCGAGAGTTATCTCCCTTTGATGATAATGTATGATAATGATAGTTATATAAAATATAGAGGATGATAATCTAAATATTATCATCATGAAAAGTAACGAACATTATGTGTATGATATTTACATTCTACTAATTGTTTATATATTTAAATATTTACAGGGCTTTGTTGATATACTTAGCCACTCTACTGTGAAATAAATAATTAAAGAACCCTGACAGGAGTTTTTTTGTCATTTCCATACCCCTGTTACATTCATAATTTTTTTTGACAATAGAATTTTTGAAATGTTACGACTTTAGAAGGGATAGTTGATGCTTTTGTTAAAATCAACGTATCTGGCAGTATCCTACCGATAAATAAATAATAAATCGATTGTAAGCAGAAATTGGAAAATTCATCCTTTGGGATATTAACACCATACGAAGTTGAAAATAGTATATTTCTACAGAAAAAAGGGACGTTGTTGGTATTAAAGTTCAATTAATTATGTACTTGTTTATCATATACATGTACTTGAATTTTAGTTTTTCGTCAATGACTTTCTGTTGTTCAGAAATGTTAAGAATACGAGCAGTAATTATGCTTAAAAGTTTTTAAACTTTGCCATGAAAACAAAAGACACTCCAATGAGAACAATTTGTAATTATGGGATTTCCAATGGAAAGTAGATGATCTGGTCTGCAATGATTACATACACATCATGGATAATTCCAGCATCTTTTTAATCAACATCAGAATACCTCTGTTTTTAATAAATTGGATTTTAACAAAGTACTTTTGGCTCATGGGATAATTAACATGTGAATAAAAGTATAAATTGGTCATGTCATTTATTTCATAAGATACCACAAAATGCAATTCAATGTATTTTATAAGATTTCTTATAATTAGGACACTTCCAGAACAGTACATTGAGTTTCTAATTCGAATTTCTAATACGAATTCGTAACTTTGTCTAACTAGATGTTCCTTCTTATTTTATCTTTTCCCTAATAAAATGTGAAATGCTCAGGAGTCATTTTAAACAAAGGAAAATGAGAAAATTGAGAGCAAAAACAACGACCTGAAGTCCAGTGCCATAGAGGAGTAAGCCTCCCATCCCGCTTAAATATAAAGCCTGCTTTTTAAAGTACATAATATTATGTTACAATACTTTCCAGATATCACCTTACCTCCACTATTAGTCACTTCATGTGTATGCTCTACTGAACACTTATCATCCCTTTGATCGCCCTTTTGTTTAAGCATAGGTTCTTCTACTCCCATTTCATCTGTAAAAATATCAGGAGTTCAATACTTAAAACAATTAGATATTGCATACATAATTGCATAAAGAAGGAATATTTGTAAATGCAATTCATTTAAACACCCAATTTTATGTTAACGCCCCCAAAATCTACCTGATTCAAGATCAATAATTTACCGCCTGTCAATCATTAAAAAAAACAATAGCTTCTGATTTGATTCACAGGCCAGCTACCCGTGCTACCTGATAGTCTGAGTTTGTGTCTTTTGAAAATGATTGCCTGGTCACGCGTCAGGCACTTTCATGTAGCCGCCTTGTATACACGGGAGTTAAAGAAAGAATCTTGATAAAACAATTGAGAGTAGATAATAAAACAGGACTTCATAAAATATTTGCATTGAATCTCAACGGCTATATTGTATTTTAGGCGATATGTGTCGTCCAAAATACATGTATCTGCTGTAGAATTAACCGGTCCGTGCACAGAAACGCTATTCGATTAAGGTCAGACGAGACGTTCCTCGAAATCTGTTTTGTATATCTTAGTAATGTATGAAAAATATTCAAAATTTTAATAACATTCTGATTTCTAAATCAATTTCTAAACGTTTTTAAAAAATCCAAACACTTAAACATTTGAAATTGGAAAATTATTTTTCTTCCCCAAAGGATTATATAAGAAAAACTACCCCTGATATCTTGCAGAAATGCCTGGTAAGGTACCTCAATTTTTTGTGAGTAAACATGTTTAAGTAGCTATACTTCAATGACAAACTCTTAGAAAAATTTATCTATTAGTCAGGAACGTCTCGTCTGTCCTTAAAATTGGAATATGATAAATAAGAAAATATATTTAGCACAAACGGCATGGATAAAAAATTCCTTTATCCCATGTTTTATTTATGTATATATGAATACAATCTACACCATGTTCCGTTGTAAAGTTCTGAAATGTCAGAAACATAAGTTTCGAGATTGTAAATTTTAGTTCGAATTTCCTAACGCCTGTCAATACCCAATATTCGAAATTAAAAAGTGAATATATGAAGCCAAAGATCAATTCTTAAAAGTATAAAAGAAATCTTGCAAACAATGAAAAATTTAAACACACGAACACCCGGAAATGGTGAATATTTTCGACACTATTGTTGGTCAGAACGTAGGCAATACCGGGGGTATTCCTATCGCGGTACATTGTATATGTTCACACGACGGATAGGCCTATGAATGGAATGTTTTCTTTTTTTTTTAATTTTGATATTTACACAAGTTTGATTAAAAAATGGTATGTTTAATCGGTAGTTTTACTCTGTTTTCTTTTCTTTAATTTTACTTTAGAAAAAAAAAACAAACTATAAAAACGATATTTCTTTATAATTTTTTTTCTTCATTAGATATCGCTGAAAGTATTTATAAATAAATTTTAAATTGAAATATTTTAAATATTTCAAGTAGTTTCACTCAAATTTACACACGAAACACGGATTTTTGACCCTGATCACCAGACACAGACTTCCTGTGTACTGCTACGTGTATATAGATTTTTGGCATCGTGGGTATTAGGGGTCTCCAGGTAAATAACACCACTGTTACTTGGACCACTCCCCCTCCTCATGTAACCGTACGGTAAAAAAAATTGGGTCTTTAAATTATATCACATTTCATTTTATTAATGATATCTTAACCAAAACTTAAGCAATAATGGCCCTATTCAATACCATGTACATTCTGTTTAAATTAACCCTTTCTAACTGTTTGTATATGCTATTTATAGGCATATGACCTTCATGGTCAGCTGAGTACTAGTATCAGAAATCTTTTCGAGATCACTCTCTAACAAATTACATGTATGCCCAATTCTTCTGTAATTTCTTACAAACATCATGCAACACGTCTTTGTAGACTATGAAACTTTGCTTACACTATTGCCTCTAGTCTTGAAAATGTTCACTATATGTGCAGAAGTGCAAAATTATGACTCAAACTAGGTTTGATCTGAGGTGCGTATGCCAGTAAGATGATACATGTTTAGAATTATTGAACTTATAATGGTGAATATAGGAACGAATTGGTTTTACAAATGCTCAAGCTTAAGGTTGCGAATAATTCCATCGTGGAGAAAAATTGAGAAAGCTATCATTTACCATCTTGGTCTTTTGGAATCGTGCTTCTTTTCCCATGCACTGTAAAAAACATTTAGAATTAGAAGTAATACATGTTTCGTAATAAATAAAATTTATTCCTAAAAATATTTTCAGCATATCTTTGAATCATTTGTTTCTTTCTCCTTTATAATATTCTGCTAATTTTGATCTCGTTTTGAAGATTTCTTGTACTTAAAAACATTATTTGTTTGGTAATAGTTCTCCCAAAGTATGTGTGAACTGTATAAGTTTGATGTACAAGTCAAAGTAAAGTCAATGCAGACTGACTATCTTTCAAGACCAATTCACTACGAATTGAAAGGATAAGGCAGGGTATCTATAATGAAACATATTGATATAACGAACATTATTCATGATCAAAGTCCATTAAGTACGCTCTAAACACTGCACAATAAAGAGCTCTATTTGTTGGTTGGTATTATGCAGTTAGAGTGATCTGTCCTTAGATGTGAGATTAAAGAAATTGTTATTTACCATTAATTACATAAATAATAATAGATTAAAATAGTTTTAGCATTATATAAGACAAAGAGTAATAAATTTAATTATTTTCATTAATTTTCCCAATGTAAGTAAACAACAGTGATTTCTGCTTACAAGTAGTCCATTGTCTTTGAACATTTTTCTTGCGCAAATAAGGCACGTACTCTATGTTAATAAATATAAATAAAATATATAAATATTATATTCTCCTTTATTATAAATAAAATAGGAGAAGAGCAAACACGGACCTCCAGAACATCAGAGATGGGATCAGGTACCATGGAGGAGTGAGCATCCCCTGCCGACCAGTCACGCCAGTCGTGTATATATATTAATATACGCTTTAAATGATGTGGAAATTAAACGGTGACGTGTCGCACTGAATATCTGTATTTTATATGAAACTATTGTATAAAAAAAAAACTTATAAACAAATCATAAAATTTCTGTCGAAACTTTTCGGCATTGATTAAAAAATGATAAAATGAAGATACCTAATTTACAGACAACATCTCTCATTCGTGTTCGATATTTTATTAGTAGTTTGATAAGAGCCAGACAAAAGATAACAACCGCACTCAGGATGATTAAAATGATGTCTTTGGATGACCTGTAAGAAAGAAAGCATAAATAATTTAAATTAGAAAGAACATACTCACTTTCGTTTCCAATATTCTGTTTTAAAATTTAAAAGTTGTTTAGGACGTTTCAAAATGAATGGGAAGATTCATTTTTGACAGAAGATTAATAAACTGTTCTTCTGTGGTTGATTTTAGACTGAAGTGCCAGCTTCTACAAACTCTTGATTATTTTTCTGTATATATCGTAAACTGTTCCAACATAGGTTATACATGTGTTTTATGGGTAGTTATTAAATTTCTTTTATTTTCTTTAATATAGTTAAACAAAAAATTAAGTAAAAAAAGAACAATTTCTTCACATTTTAAATGTAACGTCAAGCGGATCGGATCGATACCGTTTTTGATTTAAGGATATCCATCCTCGGTCAGGAGGAATAACAAAAAAAAAAAGATATTGAATTTATAATGCATGAATATAAAGCTTGAAATTGAATTTTTAACATGCAACAATTATCATTTTATTCATCTTTATATGATTCATGGTATTAGGAAGACTTAGAAAAGGTCTTATAAAACTTGATATTTGTACCCTACAAAAGGAAAAAAGGAAGAAAATTTTTTAGAGAAATACGATTTTCTTAATTCCAGCTTTAGATACCAATTGACGCTTATTTGCAAGTGGTGTCTTTCAATTATAGCAAAAGCCCTTTACACTATGTATTATAGAATACATGACGGAAATAGAAGACAAGAATACCAAATAAGTTATTTGTTGATCAATTTATGAGTTTTTGGATTCATAGATACTTTTATGAGTATTTTGATAACTTAATTGCCAATTTTATAAACCTGAGGATCGGAATACCAACACAAGTCATTGTTGCATACCCAACACAGGTTATACGATATAAACGATTTTTCCTTTCCAATATCTATCAAATGGTGTGTTAAGGATGACGTTTACTCAGGTTTTAGAAATCAGAGAGGAAATTTTATAATGTATAATACATTCAATCAAAAATTTTTCTAAATGGATAAAATAACTTAGTTTTATCTCAATATCAATTTAAAAATTTAATATTTAAGTACTTGAAGAAAATATACAGGAACAAAACTCAATGTATGGCTATGCAGAAGTCATTGTTGCATACCCAACACAGGTTATACGATATAAACGATTTTTCCTTTCCAATATCTATCAAATGGCGTGTTAAAATAAGACTCAATTTTCAGTAAATGTATGTAAATCTAATTTATATCTAATCATATATAATTCAAATGTTAGGAAAGGCATAGATTTAGATCTGTTGTCTGATCTTAATTGTAAATTTCAAAGGCATTAAATATGTTCATCTAAAGTTATCTGTACGAGTACAAGATACATATACTAGTACTTACAGTGAACCTTTCTCGTTCTCGTCATTGAAGTAGTTGACTGCAGTTGTTGTTCTGTGAATAATAAAGAACTATCTATCAGTGTGTAGCAAGAAGGTCGACACAGACAGTGATAGTGAAATATATTTGCAGACAATTAATTGTCATCCTTTTATCCTTTTCCATTTATCAAAATTATAATTGTATAAATATTTTACAGGAATCTAACTCATAATGAAAGTTCTTTTCAGATAAAGAATCGAGGGAGGGGGGGGGGGGGGGCACAAGGCGAGTCATATGCCTAAGCAAGAGCACTGGAAACAACGATTAAGAAATTCCTGCAAAGTCCACATTTTGTTTTTTTTGAGTTATTTCATAGCCATATGCATACAGTAAAGATAAAACATATATCAAATCAATTACAAATTGATTGTAATTAACCCACCAAGATGGTAATACGCTTTAGTAGCCGTAAAAATAATAGAAATGGAATGTTAAAACTGTTTTTTTTTTATTTAGAGTGGGTCTTCGTCCCATTTTTGTAAACAAATATTAAAAGGGTGTGGAAGGATGTATTTCTCACCATTTAAAAAAAAATACGAATACCCACTCTATATAAAAAAATTAGTTTACCTACTTAAATTTCGAAACATATTCTCAAAAACTTCAAGTCCAATTTTCTGTTTGCATACATATAGAACTGTTAATGTATGTGAGACTCAGTGGCTCAGTGGTCATAGCGGCGGTGTTGAAGCACCCAGTTATTTGTCGCGAGTGCTCGAATCACGTTATTTTTAAGTTCAGGTTGAAATTTAGATAAATATATTTTTTCACTAGAAATAAAATAAAAAGATAAAAAGATGATGAATTTATGTACGGTCAATTAATATATTTCCTATAATAAACAAGTTTTCAAAATACATGTTTATATAATATTTTAAATGCATTCAGCTCAAGACTACATTACACTATTGAAATGTAAACAATCATGGGCAGACCAGCACAATATGGCTATTCTGTATGCAAAAACAGATAAAAGGAAAGGTAAAGCGTACCATCCCCCAAGCCCTGAAAACATAATTGATACAGGTCGAGACCACTAGATTTTCTGACGTCAGAATAAATTTGCATGTAAATTAGCTATCTGTTTACTTTAGCCACTGATGAATGAGTCGCAATGCATTGTGGGCTACTAGAAGTACTCAGCTGTGTTGAAAATAAAGACCAACTTGAATTGTCCCTTCGAAACTTATTTTCAATTATTTTTTGAGATTTATGGAACAAATATACAAAATGATGTATAATCTTTCATTTCTATGCTCACATTTACAAAATTTGCTTTATGAAGCCTTAAATATCAACTTTTAATACATCGGCCTAAACCATTGTTCGAAGAGACGTACATGTAGGTGCTATTGTGTTGATAAAGCATCGAGCTTTTTTCACGTGATATACGTGTACATAGTTTTAGACAGCAGTACAAGGCCTAGGTGCGCTATTATTATTTAACCCCTAAATATTATCAAAAAAGTTTTTTTAATGTAGATGCAAACATCAAACTTTAAGCCTTTGCACATTATTCGAACTTTCGAAGCAACTATTAATCATATAAAACAACTCCAATATAAAATGTGAGCATGGAGCAATGTCTTTGGAATGTAATCTTTCAATTTCGGACTTAAAAAGTGACAAAGAAGCTCTACGGTTTTTCCAGTGACAAAGTGAATATTATGCAGAAACCGACGAAAACCATGTGTCGCCATTGAATCGTAAACACGTAATAGAGTGTCATGCTTTCAAACTCATTCACTTAATTGCGAATGGGTGTGACGAAAATATCGCCACGTGTTGAAAATTGCCTTCCATATAAAGAAGTGGTCTCGACCTGTGATAGAACAATTAACACGCTGTATGAATAGAATCACGTTAAAAAATACTGTATAGATAACCGCAAGGTTTGAAAATATAGAAATTGTCATTTGGGCAGTGCTGTACAAAGTTTAAATGTTTAGGTAAATCGTACAACTATAAAATTTCCGATATGCTCACAGAGCGACTAAATCCTTGTAGGCATATTTCTCGCCTAATCTCCCAGATTCTTTCAAATTATTGCTTTAGCATTAATACTGCTTGTAAATAAAAGTTGTATGAGTAGGACTTGGTTTATAATATCTATTTTTGACAAAAACGACAACGGTATCAGGATTCTAAAATCTGATTACAAGCAACAGTGGTTAAAAATATTCCACTCATGGATTTTGATGCAAACAGAAATGGACGGTGAGTGCAGTTTTAGGCATCATCTTAACAACTCATAAGGCATGGTACAAGAAGAAATTTTCATATTCTAACATTCTAACTCTTTAACGTTACATGTATTTTATTATTACATGCAATTTACATTGACTTCAAATTCATGCTAAGTCTAGGAAAAATCTTTCCTTTTAAGTCTTAAAATACAGGAACATTCACCAATTTATTTCTAAAAAGCTGAGGAGTGACATACCTTGAATGTTTAAAAAAGTTACCCTTTTACCTTATGTGATTTCTATGGCATTTTGGATCGGCATAATAACATCTTAAAAGGAGGTTGATGCTCAAGCATTCAGGTCCTATATGGTTTTGAAAAATGTTGTATAAATCTTTAACAACTTGAACTGTAATAATGCATCTTAAAATAAATGCAAATTTACACACAGAAAATAATCATGGCTTTAATAAAAAAAATCTTTTTTGATTGTAGAATAATAATTTCAAAATTATAACAAGTTAACCATACAGTATTATTTATGACCAATATTATATTACAATTTTAAATTTGAATGTGCTGAGAAATTAATTCTTATCCCGATATCCTTTTTCTTAAAACTCACGTTTGTATGTTTCACGGGTGAAGAACGGCTTCAGTGGACATCCGTTTGTAAAATTGGAACAAGCACGTCCTGTAGGAGTAGTGGCTTTGTGCTCATAGTTTAACACAGGGCAGTTACCTAACAGAAAGGTGTTGTGAATTTTGCTAGTAATTCAGAGGGCAGTTTTATACAAATTCCCAGAAAAAGAACCAATAATGGAACATTTAAATAGCACAACTTCAATTTACGAAATTATATACTTACATAATAGAAGCATTATATATTGTAAAAAAAACCTTACAAAACTCTTTAATTTTTATCAGATATTAGATTGTTTAAATGTTCCTCCAGTAAACAACATGAATTATTATATCTCTACTGATTTTTTACTATATGAGTAAATCGATTTTTTTTAATCCCAGAAAATCACCATAAAAGACTGATACTTTGTCAGCGTAAATTTATTGTTTATAAAATAAATTTTCTTGCAGATACTGCTTTGTATCTAATTGACTCAAATGCAAAGACCTTATATTATATTGAATTTATTTACTTATTTTATCTTCATTCTAAGCAATCAATACTTCTGATCATTTATTTCCATTTCCTTTATAATTACGATGCGTTTAAAATAGAATTGCAGTTTCTGGCTTTAAAAATGTATAATTTTTGTATCGGTATAATAAAACAGTTAAAATATATCATTGAGGGAGTCAGCAAGATTCCAGTCTCCCTCAAGCAAGCCTATTTTTCTCGGTTGTGCCTCGGGAAATAGACCGGGATCTTGCTGACTCCCTCGTTGGAAAACTTTAATTGTATATTGTCAGATATATGAGCAATTTCCATAACCAGCTGTAGCGTAGGTACAGGTAATTATGTAAAAAAAAAAAGAAAAAAAAAAGAAAGAAAGAAAATGTTTGATAGTTTGAAATTAATGGAGATATTCAAATATTTCATTCTTGGTGTGTAAAAAAGAACTTGATAATTTTAGAACAAATCATGTGAGAAGAAAGGACACATATGTTGTAGGTCTTATCCTTAAGGCCTACATTTAACAGTCGTGTACGAATTACTCCAGTTAGTTTACTGCTGTGGATAGAATCTGTGTTTACCTTCTCTTATAGCTGTCATTCGACCACAAAATTCCACTGTTTCATTGAGATAATTACTTGGCATACAATTGTATATGTTAGTAAGTTTTTTAGGATCTTTATTTTCCAAGTCGTCAGTACAATTTAGGGCAGCCGATCTTTCCTTCCAAGCCGTCAGGTTATTAGGTGTCGGACATGATGGTACTCTGTAGAATCCATCTGGCAGTCGCAGTTTTGAGAGACTGATCTGAATTTTTTTCAAATACAAATGAAATCATTAACAACTACCCTTATTTTTACAATTACAGAGCATGGATGGATAGGCATGTCGTACACTAATTATAACTTGTCGTACATTAACTTTAACTTGAATGGCTTCGAGACAAACAAAACAACGGTTTGCAAAGCACAAAAACTGTCATTATAAACCATTACTAAAACATTGATATTTTCTCAAAAATATATGGAAAACAAACCACCAAAACTCAGCGAACACTACAATTTTTTTTTGCTGAAATCACAATTATTTGCAGTTATCGATTTGTAAGTAAAAATAACACTTACTATTCAAAAGAGTTTTGTGTAACTGTCCAAACAATTAAGAAAAGGAATTCTTTAAAAAAGAACTCAATTTCTGTTTTCAACTATCCAGTGCAAGATAACCATAAAAATTTCAAAACATGAGTTTTTATGCGATTTACAACTTAATTGCAACAATATCATAGCAGAAATGAACTCGAGAACACTTGTTTCATGATGAAATTTTAAAAACTGCATATAACTTACCAGAATGAAAAACAGTAGAATAAATAACCAAAAATGCATCTCAGTACTGTTTTATCATCACTGTTAAAAAGAATAGGATCAATTAGATATCTTTATGATTGGTGAAATAAAGGTAAGCTATTTTTCTCTTTCTTGAAGCAATATCAACTTTGGATTTTATAGACTAGTCTTCCAGGAATACTTATAATTGTGTTACTAACAGACCTATTGTTGTATCTATATGAAGCAGATTTTTTTCAAAACCTATACACGAGAAGGGGAAAAGAGCCTGCAACTCAACATTTAGATACACTGTATATTGACGACGCACAATCATGCTGCACATTATTGTCAACGGAATGCATTTTAGTGAACTTGAAATAAAAAAAATCCCACAGATTCTGACATATATTTTTAATGAAATATATGACTATAACGAAAATACAAAATAGGAGCAGAGAAAACATGGATCTCTAAGACATAAGAGGTGGATCAGGTGCCATGGAAGAGTGGGCATCCCCTGCCGACCGGATACATTTGCTGTGTGCTCCTTGTCATGGACGAAATACAATGAAAAAATCCGCCCACAATTCAGTGTGTAAAAATGCACTAACAGTCATTATGATAAACGTCAGTCAGCATTTGACTTTACGATGGAATTTATTTGCTGACAAGGCCATTGTATTGACCATAGGTCTCACGAAAAGATTACTTTTAACGAGACACGCTGATATTCTTGTAGAATCAATTTGTTTGTCAAAAACTTTAAAACTATCTGGTTTTAGAAATTGTTCAAACGTCAGTATACTCTTACATATAGAATCAGCTTATATACAGGTTTCAGGGGTATATTAATATTGCTGCATAAGTAGGGGAAGTTGACGATTGAAAATTGAAAGTTACATGCATCACATTCATCTCTTTCTAGAAAAAAAGCCAAACATGTAAGAGATGTGTCAGACTGTGTGCTGTCTTTTATTTCAAGCTCATGTCGATATAAGAATGGAAATAACCATTTTTCATTAACAATACGTCGTCGATATCTAAATGTCGAGTTAAAGTCTATGGCAAGCATTTTCTTCTTTTGCACAAATTATGCTTCAAATACAGGAAATAATCGTACAGATTGACGATAAAAAATTATCAATTTTACTTTACAAATTTTACTTTTAAGTTTTGCGTCAATGTTTTTCTCTGGCCAAATATTCCCATTTCAAAAAGAAATATGTGAAATTAACGAACAGTATTTAAGCTCTGTTACAACGCACTTTGATAAATTACGCACTTTGAAAAAGTTTTTCAAAGTGCGTTAAATTTGGGACCAAATCAACGCACTTTGAAAAAATAAAATTTCTTTTCAAAGTGCGTTGATATCGACCATATTAACGCACTTTGAAAAAAAAATTATAGCTTGGTCAATATTCTTGAAAAAATAATTGAACCTGTTGGATAACTTTTCGATGATAAGGTCACTTCATGATGTGAAAGTGAGCGATTTTAATTTTTCCATACTTTGAAAATTCTTTCTCTCTCACTGACGTAGCATCGTTTTCGAAAGTGGGGAGGGGGGCAGCCAGAGAATATTTTTTTCACTTACCTAAAAAAGTTGACAAGCAAAAAAAAAAAAAAAAAATAAAAAATAAAATACAGTCAAACTTGTTTTAAGAGGCCACCTTTGGGAAGTCTGGAAACTGGCCACTTAAGACAGGTGGCCTCTTATTCCAGTTTGCCATCGAAAAAGAAATTCAGTCAATAAATAAACAACATTAAGCACTATAGTTAAATAATTAATCAAGTAAAAAAATAGGTCAATTTCACAAAAGCTTTTTATGTGTATAATAATTTTTCATGCTCATTTAAAAATATGCTAAAAAATTAGAAATTTTTAAGATTTTGTGCAGGTTTCTGTTCCTACATATTCATTTGTTAAACATATTGCATTCATCAGTGTGCTTTTGTTACACTGAAATATAAAATAAACTCTTTTAATTATCATTTGAAGAAATACATACAGTGCCTGACTATTACCCTTTTTATAGAAAAAAAAAATTACACAAACATACAGTTTAATGATAAATAAATTAAAGCATAAAAATTTAAGTAAGAATATGTCAATAAAACATATTTTCAAATAATGGTCAGCAGTGCCCCCCCCCCTTGCACTTAATTAATCGGCAATTAACTTACTTGCTGAAGTTTTTAAAGTCTGGTAAATTTTATTGTTTATAAAGATGTCAGAATTTCTATGTAACCTACACAGACACACAAATAAAATTAATCAGTTGACCAGGGAGGTGTATTTACGCAGTTGAAAACAACACAGGTGTCATATGCAATAGAGCGTAACTAATCCCTATCGATGTCTCTTCATAGTGAAATTCACGAGATAATCATGCCATATGAAGCACTTCGTTTTCACAAGAGTTGCAATTAGGGCTTCTACATGAAATCAAAATCTAAAAGGTGTGAATTTCTTTAGCTAGAGGAAAGTATCAATTGTGATTAAATTCTTTTAATCGGCGATCTTGAAAAATAACAACGAATTGGTCTAATAGGAGAAATATCTTTTTTTTTTCATAAACACAGAGTTCAGCGTCAGGAAAAAAATTAACCAAAGTCGAAAATCATATTTCGTTGGGGGGGGGGGTGTCATCTACTTTCAGTACCAATTCTAATACTACATTCTTGGTACATCACTAAAAGTCTAAAAGTGTGTGTGTGTGTGGGGGGGGGGGGGGGCAACCTGGTTTTCAATTTACATTTCCTAAAGTATAAGTAAGGTTGGGAAAAAAGTGGGGCTACGCCTCTGTCTCTTAAACGTTTGACTGTACTTAATTTCCATTTAATGTAACCTAAAATTTATTGAAAATTTTAAAAGTCATACCAGTTAATCAAATACATATATTTGGGTTTAGCATATGCATCAGTACCGGGGAGGGAATGGGTTAGTTACATAAATGTTTTGCAAAGATATACATAATATAGGAATAAAAAATTGGGAGTAACCTTTGGGGAATTCCACTTTCAATTTGCTACCTAAGTAATAAGAGAGTTTGTCTGAGAGACCTACTATATACTTATCTTCTCCTTGTTCTCGATGAGGGTTTATCAATACATTTAAATTAAAACGTTTTTTGAAAGATATTATTATTATAAATTGATTCATTCAATCATTAAAATCTAAGTCTAGAATTTTTGTTTTATAGATATATTTTTTTCAAAGTGCGTAATTTTTTCAAAGTACGTTGCCACAGAGCTCAAAAGTGAATTTAATTTAAACATTACTTATCAGGAACGAAGCAAACATAGACCTCCAAAACATCAGAGGTAGACCAGGTGCCACGGAGAAGTGCGCATACGGTCAAATCAGTCGTGATCTCCTAATATCGTAAATACGCGTATTCTCCAGAATAATTCGTCCTTGACCATGGTCATGTTGACATTAACGACAACGCTCATAGAGAAAGTTGCAGACCTCGATTTGCTCTGGTTCGTTCAAAGCTTTAGGGAGAATATGGGATCTGTAGGATGTAAATATATGATAAGGCAAGAGTCTGAGGTACTTTTTTTCCCTATCACAACGATACCAGCTGAGCTGATATTGAACATCGAGAAAATGACAGCATGATCAGCGATTTTTTTTTCAATTCACACTCATGATCCGAAAGTGACATAAACATAATATTCCCGTTTGTCAGTCCTGTTTATCTCCTGTTTTGTTTTTTTTATTTTCAAGTTTCTTGTAATCATAATTTAGCTAAAACAGACTAGGGTCTAAAAGTATCAATAAAATAAATCAATAAATAAAATTAAGATTGGAATTTTTAGTCTATGCAATCAGTATGAAGAAAGTCAGACAACATTTGATTTAATGATGAATTTTTTTGGCTGACAAGGTCAGTGTATTGACTATAGAACTTACTAAATGATGACTTTAAATGAGCCTGCTGGTATTCTTGCTTCGTCAACTTGTTTGTCAAAAATGTTTTAAACTCATTGAATTTAAACTGCTTTCGGATAATTCCGTAAATATCCCCGATGTTTAATCTATTTTTACACTGTGATGTACTCAAATACGTCGGCTGGTAACAATATACTAATATAACTGAGTTTTAATAACAGAAACTGTGGTAATCTTGACGTTCATTAAAAGCATCACATGAGTTTGCAATAAATAGAAAGATTCTCAAGAGGATTGATTGTACATTGTATATTGTTTATCGTCCCTCTTGAGAATTTTTTACTCATACGGAGACTCTACAAGCTACTAGGCGAAGAGCTGCAAATTTTGTGTTATACTCGGCACTTAGGGCCATTGAGCAGGGAGGGATCTTTGTCGTGCCAGCACCTACTGCGACACAAGTCACCGGTTTATACGGTCTCATCCGAGGGACCAAAGATAAAGCTCCTGTTTGAAATGGGAACAAACTCAACTTTTCCTCTGTGGAAGCAGATTGGTAAACATATCAGAAATGTGAAAAAAAATACCATTCATTGGACATGTTCAAATCGAAAGTAGGTTTGAAATTGTCAAAAATAATGATATACCAATAACTGTGTAATAAGAATCAACTTACTGTGTATTGTTGTAAGTTATAAAGGCCAATACAAATGAAGAATTTCTGTTTAAACCTTCATTGGAAAAGCTGACTTCATTGCATAACAATCATGGCCGATTAAAAATTACTCATTCGACCCTACTATTTTTATTGCTATTTAAATTCAAGACACGTGGTTTAGGTTGACCCAGGTTGACTTCGGGATGTGAACAAGCGGTTTTATTGATAAAATTGGCAGTAAACAGGAAATTGCTCGGGGGGGGGGGGGGGGTAAACAACAATATATCTTATCATAATTTACGGCGAAAATTTGAGCTCACTAGCGACCGATAATTAAACTGGTAAAAAAAATTGTATCATATCATCTAAGTATAGCAACCGGCGGAGAGTTTTAAGAAGAATTAAGGACTATCACGATAGATCGTAGTTACCATTCCAAAACCTAAGCTCCGAAGATATTTGTTATTTATTTAAATCAACTGGCCATTCAATCCAATTAACTGCAATAGAGAATAAAAACAAGACCTTAACGACAAAGATTAGTGAACTAACGAAGAGATGTGAAAATCTGCAAGCAGTGACATCCGCCCTTCATTATCACATTTCAAAATTGCAAAGCTGCCAAAATCAAACAAGCATCCAACGTAAACCCATCAACTCAACCAAACGTGTTACCAAGCAACACCAATTCCAACCGCTTCCTACACCAACAAAACCTTACTGGAACCGACAACCAAGTACTCTGCATTTCAGTTCCCGATAATTCCTGAGACGACGACGTCTCATTTTTGGAAGCGAGAGTATGGAACGCCGTCACTGCCTTATAGCAGAACACAACAATTGCATTGTGTCAACCTTACATTACATTATGTCAACTCTTTATGACATTTACTCACACTACTATTGTATTGTGTCAACCTTCAATTATATTATGTCAACTCTTTATGACATTATCCCACAATACTATTGTATTATGTCAACCTTCCATTATATTATGTCAACTCTTTATGACATTATCCCACAATACTATTGCATTATGTCAACCTTCCATTATATTATGTCAACTCTTTATGACATTAGCCCACAGTACTATTGCATTATGTCAACCTTCCATTATATTATGTCAACTCTTTATGACATTATCCCACAATACTATTGCATTATGTCAACCTTCCATTATATAATGTCAACTCTTTATGACATTAGTCCACACTACTATTGCATTGTGTTAACCTTTCATTACATTATGTCAACTCTTCATGACAATTACACACACTACTATTGCGTTATATCAACTTTCAATTACATTATGTTTAGTCTTTATGGCATTAACTTGCACTTTAATTACATTGCGCCAATCTTCCATTGCATTATATCAGCTCTTTATGACATTAAGTCAAAACAATTTTACGTGGTGTAAAAATGTTTTTATATATTTTCAACTCATTATTACATTATGTGCACTCTCTACTATTTGGTCTAAGTAGTTCATTACATGATGTGAATTTATCTTTAACTCAATATCAAGTCGTTATAATACGATGTCAGAATTTCATTACATGATCTGAAAAAATTGTCACATGTGGTCAATTCTTTTACTACTTTATGCCCTCAATATGCTACATGACGACGTGAATCAATTTCATGATGTGAATTTGCCCTTACTTTTTGACAAATCGTTATTACGTTATGTCATTGTGTCTTTACATTGTGTCAAAAATGCTAAGCCTCTTGTCAGCATACATGTATCTTAGGCTATTTCATCTCATATCAGATGTGAAAAGCTCATGTCATACTGTGCGCACTCTTCTACATTATGTCGATTCACTATTACGTTATGCGAACACGGGTATCCTCGGCCTTTATATGAGCATAACGTATTTTCCGCATTCCGAAAGCACTAAAAATGGCGGGAGAGAAAACTGTCATAAAATAAATTCTCAGCGATTTGGGAATTGCATCTTTAAATGAAAACATTAAGTGAAAAATGATTGACAGTCTTGAAACGTGCAAAGCCTTAACACTGCGACTGTGAATTAAAGTCACGCGTCGAAATTCAATGGCGTTTACTTTTATCTGATAATTAAATAAATCAAATATGAGTCGTGCAGCATTTTTTTTCTTTTGAATTGCTTTTTTTTTTTATGAAAATCTTAAACTTCTGATCTTACTCAGAACACTGTCATAAGTTTTTTTATCAGTCTTTAACTCTCCTGTTTTAAAGTGTAAACACATCGATCGTATAACACACGTGCACTGGCGGGTTGGGGAGGGGGGGGGGGGCAGAAATCCCGCCCTACCATCTTTAGTCACCAAAATATACATAAAATAAATAAATTTATTAGTTTTACGTAGTAGGTCATTGCATTACTTTCACATTAAGTTTAGCTGAATTAAATTGAAAACTTTTTCTATATAAAACTATAAAGCCTGCCGGAGAGTTTTTCCGCTTTCCCCCTTTGGTCACCAACTCTATACCGTCCCCCTTCTTTTTTCAAGATTCCCATATGCGCCACAAATATGTGCCCATGCATGCTCAATTGATTTAGATTTTTGTAACAGAATTCTGGTCTTGGAGTGGTTGAAAAAATTACAGTAACTAATTCCGTGACATAGCATTTATTTGAAAGAGGATGTCAGCCAGAAAAAAAAATTATTTACCCGAAAAAACTTGACAAGCCAAAAAAATTTGTCTAAGCCCGAAAATCCTATTTCGGAGAGGGGGGTCGGACTTCGATCAGTCCTATATTTTTTCAGTTATGCTACATTACCCCTAGTGGACTATACTTCAACAATAAGTGGGGGTGGGGGCTGTACTTTCAATGAACATTACATTTTCTAAAATAAGGTTATGTCTGGGGAAAAGAGGGGGGCTGATATTATGTGTCTATAATTCGTCCTACTCAATCGGACCCCCCCCCCCCCCCTCTTACCAGTCATTAAAACACGGTCGTCAACATTCATTATACTAGATATACAGATTTCAGATAATGTAAATGTATTTTCACATCAGGTAATGAACTTTTGGAATCAACATGATAAAGAGTTAACACAGTATAAGGATATTTTTTAAATCACATATGATAAGAAAGAGTTGACATACCGTATTATATATCCACATCTCGGAATGGAGTTTTGACATAATGTAATAAAGTGTTGATATAATATAAAGATATGTTCACATTATGTTATACACTTTTTACACCACGTAATAAAGCACTGACATAAAGGTAAGATGTGTTCACCTCACATCATGATGCTCTCGCCGTAAAATAAAGATAAATCCATATCACGTAATAATACTTTGATATAATAGACATATACATTCTCAAAAAGGAATGGACTTTTGACTTCATGTAATGATAAGTTTAATTATAAAACACAATTTACTTGACGTAATGCAATTTTGACCTCACATATTAAAGAAATGAAATAATATAAAGAAACATTCATTTCACGTAATAAAGATTTAACACAATGTAAACATATTTTCACTTCACATAATGAACTTCCGACTTCAAGTTATAAAGTGCTGACATAATGGAAGAATGTGTTTACTTCATGTAATGCAGCATTGACATGATGTAAAGATATTTTTACATCACCCCATAAAAAATTGATATAACGTAAAGATATGTTCACATCACGTAATGATAGATTGACATAATGAATGCATAGATTTATGCTATAAGGCAGTCATGGCGTTCCATACGAGAGGGTATTATCACGGTGTGCTTTTTGATGAAAACAATTATAGTGACATTCTAGATAACTTTCTAATATAGGTTTAATTACTGGTACAGAAACTGTAATTACTTTTCTCACCATGAAACACTATAATTATGGTAATTACTTTGCATTTTGAGTTGCAAAGTATTGTCAATTAACAATGGTTATTTCCATTCTCATATCTAAAGAATATTTCGCGGTGAGCTGGAAATAAAAGATACCACAGAGTCTGACACACCTTTTTCATATGTAGCCTTTTTTTACCAGAAAGATATCACCGGGGAAAATAAGTGTCAAACTTTTCGGCGACAATAAAACATAACAATGTTAACGATGGAATGGCACTTTATTATAAACTTAGGTCAGTAGGGTGAATTCTGGAAATCCAAAAATTGCACCCAAACAATCCGAAACCTAGGAGTTAACTGATTAACAATGATACATGTAAAATATAAATAATAAAATAAGACAGTGGCAATTAGCACAATTCTTAGCATGAGTGACAGATGGCTTAGATAGAAAAACTCATGTCACGTTGAGTAAATTTGCTTATTAATGTCGAGTTGCAATGTATGGCAAGTGATTTTTTCTTTTCAGTGATAAGATTTTGCACAAATTCTGCTGCATATGAATACAAATAAAGATCTGCTAATTGCAGAATGCAATGGGTACCCATGGGAATTCCAATAGATTGTTGAAAGACCTGGTCTCCAAAAAACCACATATATATTTTCAGTCAAATATCAACATCAGATTAGTTGAAAGTACAATCAGTTTGATATTAACACTTTTTCTGCAAATGACCAATGACAGAATAAATAAATTCACAGTACGAGATCAATTTTTATTGAAAAAGCGACCCACTATGATGTCAAAAAGCCTGAACTTAAATGTATCATGAGGATTGATTGTATATAAAGATTCGAAAGTTTTTTATGTTGTTGATGTTGGTAAAATTTTGTGATTTCAAATTGTCTTAAAATTCTTTTGAATTTTAGAGTATCCTCATCTGATTTACAATTCTCGAATATCATTTTGCAAAGTACAGTTTCATTTTTGATATATAGCAAGAAAAAAATTATGTTATCCTCCCTAAAACATTCTTTATGATAAACGAATTCAATCGTTATCTTCTCTTACATATGCAGCAATTTACCTTCATCACCTGCATTCGGGGTTTACATCTCTCAGTTGATCTCTCAGTTGATCTGAACATGATCTATAAGTATAAACAATTACTAAAACGAAGTAAGGTTGATGAAACATGAACATTAACAACCTCGTTCAAAGGTCGATACAATGACCTTTTCAGGAATCACCATATACAC